CACGAGGGCGTGGGGCTGGCCCACCCGCTGGGCCTCCCACCCTGGCCCCTCTGGCTTGGTCTGCGGTGCCCTGATCGCCCCTCCTCCCCCGTGTCTCCTGGGAGTTTTAAGCCCAGCACAGAAGGTGGCGTGGGGCTGGGTGAGAAGTGAGGGTAGCAGGGAGCTCTGCTTATCCCGGGGGTTCAGAGGGGGCTGTGACCCAGTTTATAGGGGCTTTGGATAAGCCGCTGGAACAGGGCATTATCACATCATTTACTCTGACTGACCCTTCCCTGCAGAAAATCCCCGACCTCCACAGACGTGCCTGGCTCCAGGAAGGAAGCAGGGTGGTGCTGGGGCAGGTGCGGGCGAAGGCGTGGCGAGGGGGAGTGGCAGAAGGAGGCACTGAGCAGGGGGAGGTGCCTGGGGTGTGCGGGCTGACACCCCCCAGTGGTGTGACCTTGGCTGTGTAGGGTGGAAGCCAGCCTCCAAGGCAGGTGGACTCACCCCCTCCTGCATCCTGTCCCCACCCTGGTGGGCAGGGCGACCGGCCGTGTCCTCCTCGGACCTCCGTGGGGCCTGTGATGTCACTAAGAGGGGTTCGGCAGCCCCTGCCCGGGCACCTGGAGCCCCCGCCCCTGCCCTGACGGGCGAGGGCCGTGCCGCACCAGCACCCCGACAGCTATTCCCGGAGCCCTGTCGCTCATTATCGGTCCACAGATGGCAGCCATGAATCATAACCAAAGGAATTAAAATGCTTGGCGCCGGGCTGCAGTTGCTAAGGGACAGCACTCACAGACAAGTCCCCCCAGCCCCCTGGCAGCAGCTGTTCCCGAGGGACCGGCTCCAGGTCGCCATGGGGGTGCCCCTGTTCTGACGGGTCGTTCAGGACCTGACCTTGGCGTGTGAGCAGGCAGAGCCCAGCAGCCGTCTCCAGGTGCCAGGTGACCCGTGCTGCGAGAGGTCTGTCCCTGGGGCTCAGTTTCAGCCAGGACCTGTGGCCTGGAGCCTTCTCGGGCTCCCAGCAGGAGACGCGGCAGGTGCAGTGTCTGCTGGGGGCCTGCCGGCCCCAAACTCCAGGTTCTCCTCTGCCCCCGTGTTCTCTGTTCTCCGTAACCAGGGCAGGTGTTAGAATCAGCATGTAACCCCCGGCAGCTCCCGGATGGGAGTTCTTGAGTCCTTGGCTTAAATTTTTCCCAGTTTAAAGTATTTACAGTTTCGGAAGGCCGCCGCTTCCTCTGCATCCTGACACTCACCTGCCGAAGATGAGGAACGTAGCCGTCCCATCCAGGCAAACGCCTTTGGTTCTTGTCCGCTTGCTCCCCACTTACCCATCCCTGCAGGCGTTGAAAGGCAATTTCCGGCTATTTAATGGTGGTGGTGTTTCATCTTGTCGCGTGCCTGGCGTTCTGGCTTCTCCGGGGACAGCCCGGGCTGTTGTAACGGAGACTGATTCCAGAGGTGGTCGGGGAGGAAGACGGTCCCGGCCAAGCCGGGAATCGTCATGATGACTTTGAGGTTTCTTGGGAGGCACGTGACCCTGCCGGGGGAGGACGGGACACGGAGAGGGCTTCCTTCCACCCCTTCTCAGTCCTGTGGACGAGGCAGCTTGCCGCCCGTCTGGGAAGACCTCTCCGGCGAGGCATGTGACACTGGTGAAGTTGCTTGCGACAGCTGGCCAGGTAGGGTGACCCCTGGTCACTGTTGGGCTGGCTGCCTCCCAGGGCCGTGCGTGCTGCGACGCGGGCGAGGCTCCGAGCTCGCCGTGTTGACCTGTGGAACTTTGTCCACGCCCTGACGGGGGTAAAGTGTGAACGCAAGCGCCCCTTGTCCGGTTTGCTCGAAGCGCCACGGGAAGTGTACGTGAATGGCGCTGAAACAGCACAGGCAGGACGCGGAGCACACAGCTGTGCGTGCTGACGTCACGGCCACTGTCGCGTGTTACGGGGGAGGGTGAGGCCGCTGACCTCCCGGCACGGGGGGAGGCTTGGAGGCTGCTGTTTGGCAGGTCTGCCTGCGTGCTCGAATCCAGTTGCTCCGTCCCGTGGAATATCCTGGAAGGTGAGTGGGTGTAGCTTTGACTCTGCCCAGGTAGATGAGACAGTGTGGCCGGTGCCGCGGGGTGCTTATGCTCCGGTGGGAAGGCAGTCCCAAGTGCTGGCAGAAGTGGGAGGAAAAGCTTTTCTTTTAAAACCTGTGACCTGTTTGAGAGCCGCGAGGCGCGCGCGCGCGCGCGCGCGCGCACACACACACACACACACACACACACACACACACACACACACACACACACACACACACACACACACACACACACACACACACACACACACACACACACACACACACAGCTGTCTGCGGCCGGCTCGCTTCCCTGAACTGCCCACAGCCAGCAGCGCTGGGCTCCTCGCTGCCGGCTGCCCGATGGGCACCCACGGGAGGCTGGGACGCAGGTGAGCGTGTGTGCCCTGCAGGCTTGCCCGCTAGGCCACACGCCTTTTCTTGATGCCTTCCGTGTGGATTCAGTGACGTGCCAGCGGAGCGGGTCCCTGTGCTGTCCGCAGTGAAGGGTTTGCTGGGAACCCGTGCAGGGTGGACACTTCAGCCAAAGCAGTGTCTGCGGCGTCCCGGCTCCGGAGGGCCACCCGACACGTGTGCCTGGCTGGCTGGGGTGGGGGACGGGGCTGGTCCAGCCCCATAGTGCTGGGGCAGTCACCCCTGACAGGGCCAGCACCCTTCCTTCCCGTTAGCCCGTGGAACCCCAGGGTTCTGCCCCAGCTTGGCACCCCAAGATGGCATTTCCTGGCAGTGGTGTGGGTGGATATTGCCCAGGTGGCCCCCTTGAGGTTGGCATGGGCTCCTGGGAGCGGACCCGTTTGCAGAGCCACCACCTGTACTGTGTCTCTGAGCTCTGCTCAGCAGCACTGGGCCCAGCCGGGGCCTCTGCTGCCAGTGTCCATTTCCAGAACTTTCTCATCTTCACAGTTTAAAACACCGCTGTGACACATGCCCCGTTCCCGGCCCCAGCTCCCCCATCCCGCCTCTCTGCGGCCGACTGCTGCGAGTGCCATGTGCAAGAGGGACCCTCCGGGGGGCCTCCCTGAGCCAGGTGTGCCCACATTGTCAGTGTCCCAGTGCCCTTCCGTTTTCAGGGCTGTGTAATACTCCCGGCCCTGAGTGGCCTCCTTGAGCACAGCTGCTCCCCCATGCGTGGACCGCCCCCCCCCGTGCCCGGCCACTGGTGTCGCTGTGGGCAGGCGGCTGGGCGGTCACCTCTGCGAGTTCTCCTGTCTTACTCTGCCAAGTCCACCCTCGCAGCCCTGCAGGCTACACGTCGGAGCTGGGGAGGGGGCCGTGGCTGTGTCGGAGCGACGTCTGCCTTGGTGGCTGAGGGCCCCTGTGCTCCATGTTCACACAACGTGTGTGAAGCCGCTGGTCCTGTCCCCACGGCGCCCTGATCTCCGTGGCTTCCTCGGAACCCACACTCCTTGCCACCTGTTCTCCCGTGCCCGGCCGTGCCCGGTGGCGGGTTAGGACGGGATCTGGGGGACTGGAGTGCGGGCCCAGGGCAGCTCACTCATCTGTCTCAAGATGCGTTTTTCTCTTCCTTGAAAGATAGTATTACAGAGAGAGAGGGGAAGACAGGATCGGAGCAGTGTGTCCCCGGGGATGCCGGGTCACAGGCGGCAGTGACTTGGCCGGCTGCAGCACAGTGCTAGCCCCCTGGACACTCCCACGGGGCCCGGGCCGGGGAGCACAGCTGTCACCTGTCGCTCTGCGCTGCTTCGGCTCAGCCTGGCTGTTCCTGCCTGCACGCCTGTCAGGTGTCTCTCCCGGCACGCGGGTGGGCTTTTGCCTTCCTGCCATCTGGGTAGGCTGAGACTTCAGATCCCCCCGTTCCCGGCTGAGACTTCAGACCCCCCCGTTCCCGGCTGAGACTTCAGATCCCCCCGTTCCCGTTCAGGGTGTTTCTGTGCTGTGAGCAGCCGGCTGCCTCTCTGGCACTCTGCTCGGAGAGCTGCGTTGTGTCGCTCACTGCGCGTCTTCGTCTGGCCAAGTTCTTTACCGCCTTTTTCCGAGGTTGCCTTTTCTGCCGGGTCCTGGAATGTCGGCCAGACCCCCACAGCACGCGCCGTGGAGCTCCGTGGCCAAGTCTGCAGATGCTGGCTGTGAAGAGTGGCTTTGCCCCACTGAGTCTGCGCGTGCACGGTCAGCCAAGAGAGGACCTTCACCGTCGGCTTTGGCTCCGGCAAGGGGGCCTCCCACTGCTCCCGGAATCCTCTGCCTTTTTTCTTTAATTATTTTTTATTGGAAAGTCAGATATACGGAGAAGAGGGAGAGAGACAGAGAGGAAGATCTTCCATCCACTGGTTCACTCCCTAAGTGGCTACAATGGTGGAGCTGCGCCAATCTGAAGCCAGGAGCCGGGAGCTTCTTCCAGGTCTCCCACACAGTTGCAGGGTCCCAAGGCTTTGGGCCATCCTCGACTGCTTTCCCAGGCCACAGGCAGGGAGCTGGATGGGAAGCAAGGCCACTGGGACACAAATTGGCACCCATATGGGATCCTGGCACGTGCAAGGCAAGGACTTTAGCTGCTAGGCTACCATGTCAGGCCCAATCCCCTGCCTTTTTCCCGAGGCCTGCAACTGATTGGGCCAGGCCCACCGGTGGCATCTCTTGGTGTCGACTCAATGCGTTCCCAGGTTGGCCCCCGAGGACCTGGCTCTCTCGTGGGTGCAGAGGTCCCCACTTCCCTGGCTGCTGGCCTCCCTCCACTTTGCGGTTGGGGCTTCCAGGCCCCAGCCTCGATGGCCTCTCTGTGGTTACCCAGTGCCTCGCGCTCAGAGGACAGGCTCGTGTGTCGGTGCAGTGGGAACCTTAGTGGCGTGCGCCGTTTGGGTGCTGGGCAGGTGTCGGGGCGGCTGTCTGCAGGGCTGGGACTGGACCCCGACTGGGGGTGGGGGGCCTGCACGGGGTTCCTCGGCCGCCAGCCCTGCATCTCACGCGTCTCTCCCTCACAGGTGGCCATCATCGCGGGCAACTTCGAGCTGGCCGAGTACATCAAGAACCACAAGGAGACTGATGTTGGTGAGTGGAGGAAGGGCGGCGGGTCGGCTCGGGTCACGGACACACCTGCCAGCGGCTCCGCAGCCTCTGCAGATGGGTGCTGCCACCTTGCCCGTCGTCTGTTTCCCGCTGGGGTGGGCCCAGGAGGACCCGGCGGCGGGGGGCTGCTTCCCGGCAGGGTCCCTGCTGACCTAGGAGGGCAGGGCGAGGAGCGGGGAGGTCTGGCTTCTGCTCTGTGACTTGTTACTCCCGAGTCACCCAGATACTGGTCATTTGTTCAGCCCCAGGGGTGACCCTCCGTCTGGTCGGAGGGTGTGGGCGTGCATGTGTGGGACCTGGGCTAGGTGTCTGCGCCTTCCCTTCCTGCTGCCGGGCGTCTTAGCACGAGGGCGGGAGGGCGAGAGGGAAGAACCCGGAGGAAGCTTACCGGGCATCGAGTCGGGGAAGGCGGCCATTGGTCTAGCTCGAGTCGGGTTCGTTCACTGCCGATTCCGACGTGTTTCCTGGAAGACGACGTGACTCGCGCAGGCCGCCTAGGTGACCGGGGGTGGCCGCGCGTGGGAGAGGAGGGTCGGCACCCTGGCCTTGGTGCTAACTGCCCTTCCCCCCTCAGTGCCTCTCGTGTCAACCCGGAGGTTAGTCCCGGGGGTTCCTCCCCTCTCCCGTCGCCTTGCCGCCGGCTGGGCCCAGTCCTGCACCCTGGAGGTGCCCGCTGGCCTGCTGCCCCCGGCCCCGGGGCTCCAGAGGACCTGCAGCGGGGAGCCGCCCCGTTGGACCAGCAGCGGTGAGCTTCCGGAGGTGGCACCGTCCCGATGCGGGCGGTGGGCGGGGTCCCGGAGGGTTGGCCTGCCGTCAGTGTGTCATCGTGGGTGTCTCTGGCTGTGGCGTCTCCTCCGTGTTGCACGCCCCGCCCGGGTGGGTGTGCAGAGATGCAGAGCAGCTGCTTGGCTTGCATCGTTACTGCCCCACGGCGGGCATCGGGGCCTCCCGGAGCCCGGCCCGATGCCCACGCGCCCGCCCGCCCGCCCGGGAGCTGGAGCACATCCCAGGATGTGCGAGGCGCTGCGTTGTGCTGTCCATGTGCGGCTCTGGGAGTCTGCGCAGCCACTTGGAAAATGAGCCGGCTGCTTCCGCACCAGAGGCTGTCTCCCCATCACCTGGCTGGGTGTGGGATTAGTTCAGCAGTGTAGCCTCGACTTGGGGTCTGGAGATGCCGGCTTCTCGGCCGGGAACGGAGACCCCACGGAGCAAGGAGAGGAGGAGGGAGCCCCTGCAGGTGCAGGCCCCCCAACCTCCACCACAGCTGCAAGGGTTGTCTGGTCTCCTGGGAAGCAGAGCCCCCCAGATGACCACAGGCTCTGGGCTGCCCCGTGACCTCGACAGGGGCCACAGTCCATGCAACAGCTGCAGGAAGGGGCGGTGGCTCCACGGTGCCAACTGAGTGCCCCTGCTGGGTATCTGGGACATGGGACCCTCCCACCTCGGCCTCTCCCTCCTCTCCTGTCCCAGGTCAGTGAGGCCAGACCCGTCCTTGGGGCCAGGAGCCGGGTTGCCCTCGGCTGGTGAGGGGCAGGCTCTCTTCGTGTCTGACGTGGAATTGGGCTCCGTCTACACTGCACGCCTCTTTGCGTGGGTTTTGAGGATGTGGCTGTGTTATTGGGCTTGGAGCACCCGAGGTGGCGGGGTCTGGTCTAGTGACCCCTGGTCACAGTTGGTTCTTTGGTGGAACTGCCTGCTCGTGGGACACCCGTGCTCGCTCTGGCGTCGCTGGCTCCTTGCCTTAGAGAACCCCCAGGGCTGCAGGGGCGCAGGGCTGGCTGGGATGCCCTGCAGCGTGGAGATGCTGTGTACCCCTCTGTCTTCTCTGCGTGCTGCCACCTCCTCAGGGCCCGAGCAGTGCCGTAGCTCGCCACGGGCAGGCTCGTCAGCCTGCGACACTCCCGCCCAGCCTCTCCCGGTCAGACCTGAGTGAACGTGGGGATTTGGGAACACGTGTGCGCCCCCACTGCCCCTCCCCCACAGCTAGAAATGGCCTTTGTCACGCCGCAGGCCCCGTCCAGCTGCTTACCTGTTGCTGAGGGGACACGTGGCTGCCCAGGCAATTGGGGTCCCCCACACACTTGGCTCTGGCGAGTGTCGCAGCTCCGTTCCGTGCCCGCTTCTGTCGCCAAGGGTGCCACTGGCTTCTTTCCACCACCACCCCTGTGCCCAGTTGCCTTCCGGGCAGGAGCACCAGCTGCTCTGTGCCCCTTCTCACTCCTGACTCCGTCTGGGCTCCCTGGTGTGAGCCTGGAGCTCCTAGACCCAGCCATGCCCATCAACTCACTCCTCCGGGAGCCCGTGCAGGGTGCGAGGGGCCCCAAACCCATTTGGGGGTTCTGACTCGATTGCCCCCCGTCTCGGTTCCTGCTGCTGCTGGATGTTCTAGCACGGCCCCCCGCCCCAGCCCCGTAGGGTGCCCGGTCCCTCTCGCTCCCTTCCAGGAGTGCTCGGGCTGGACCTGGCCTGTGCTGTGCCTGCGGCTGCTGTGGTTCACCCCTGCTGGAATGAATCTGTCATGGATGTGAGGGACACACATCCCACCCGGCCCTGGCAGGTGCCTTTTGGAGGCCCCAGGGAGACTCTGTGGGCCACCCAGCCCTGGCAGCATTCCAGGGGCGCCAGGGGGGCTCCCTGTGGGCCACCCAGCGCTAGCTGGGGCCTGGTATTCACTCAGGCCTCCCCGGTGCTGGCTGGGCCTCATGCATCCCCGTGTCTGCCTTCCTGCTGAAAGTTGTGGACTGAGGGTCTACCCTGAACTATGGTGACATCACCGTGAAGCCCTCCCGTCAGTTCCGCCTGCGAGACCCCGTTTCCACAGTCGAGGTGTGGAGGATTGGGGGTCCCTGACTCCTCTGTCTCTGGCTGTTGTGTTGTATCATCTCCGTTGCTCTCCAGGCTGGTCCTGTGTCCAGCACTGGCTCAGCCCTTCTCTACAATGTTTGCCGTGACCCTGGAGGGTGTCCACCCAGGGCAACCTCCACAGGCCACTGAGCAGTTCAGCAGGGCCCGGCCTCTGCTTGGTCCTGGCCAGGCTGGACCCTGCAGCCGCAGCACAGGCGTGGACTGAGTGACCTGTGACGGCTCTCTCCGTGAGGTTGTGTCGCTCGCTGCCGCGTGGGCCCAATGCCTGGGCCCCGAGGCAGGGGCCAGGCTGTGTAGGAGATCCCTGCCCCACCGGAGCGTGGAGTGGATGGAGGGGAGCCCCACATTGCTAATCTGAGGGTTCCAAATTGAGGGTGACCTGGGGTCCATCGTGAAGCCTCCGGTGGGTGAAGGTCCCGTCCGGGGCGTCCAGCGGGCCACATCCCTTGCAGAGCCAGAGTCCTTGTTCCCTCAGGAGGTCCGGGTGGTCAGCAGCCTCAGAGGCGACTTTGGGGGGGAAGGGCTGGCAGCTTGGTGAAGTCATGCCACGTGGAGCTAGCCGCCTCCCTGTTGCATCATAGAGCGTTCCGTGTTCACACCGAGGGGTCTGTGCCCCTTACTCCAAGACCCCTTTCTCTTTAAAAAAAAAAAAGCAGCAGCAGCAACAGCAGCGTACCCTCTGCCCAGCTGTTGCATTTGCCAACTGATGGAAAGTGCTGGTTTGAAAGCCACCGTGGTCGGCAGAGTTAATCCTTGCCTGCTGCCGGCCAGCAGCGAGCGCCAGCTGGGTCCCCGCGTACAGCCGGCTCTCAAAGCGTTAGGCAGAGGGCACGTGCCATGGCTTCCGTGGAGTGGACGTCCGCAGGGGCCGGGCTGCCGGGGAGCCGGGCAGTGTGCACTGGAAGCCGGCGTGCCGACCCGGAGCGTGCGGCTGGCTGAAGCGCTGCGGCCCTGGTTCTCTCTGCTGTTGCCTTGTGCTCGGTGGAGATGCCGAGGCCGACCGACTCAGGGACATGGGCTGCGCCTCTTCAAGTGAGCGAGGTTGGTGGCCGCCGGTCCCGCCTCCCGAGGGGGGCTTCGGGTGCGTGTCGGAGCAGCGCGTTGACCCGTGGTGGGAGCGTCCGTGCCTGCCCGCTCGGCCGGGCCAGCGGCTCTTGGATACCGTTGCTAGGCTCCACGGCCGGGTGCCTGTGTAATTACGTGGCAGCGTGTATCAGGGATGGAAGGAGTGTGTGTGTGTCTGGGGGAGGGGCTGTGTGGGATGTGAGACCCAGGGCGATGCAGTGTACCTGCGTGGTGGAGACCACCTGCTGGCTGGAGGAGACAGATCCTATGCCAGGGGGAGGTTCCCATGGTCCCGGCGTTGGCTGCAAGAGCTGCCGACAGCGGTGAGTCTGTGCACTGGCCCTCGCGTTGCGGGTGTTACCAGCGGATCCAGCCACGCTGTAATGGACTTGTGCCATGAGGCCATGAGTGTGTCTGTGGGGTGACCCCTGCGGGTTCCGCCTCCCCCGGCGTGAAGCCTGGGACCCCCACAGCTGAGCCAGGGCCTGGCCTCACCCTGCCATGTGTGTGGCGCAGAGGGGCAGGCCCACAGCCCCCGTGGACACAGTCGCGTGCGAGCTGGGATGGGGGCGGCAAGAGTGTGCAGGCCCCGCTGGCGTGCGGTTTTCGTTCTGTGCCGCCTCGGCCCGTGCTCACCTAGCGCCGTCGGCTCTCCCGCAGTCCTCGCTCTCGGCTGCTGCAGGACCCCTGGTCTTGGTGTGTTGTACAGCTCCGCCTGCCTCCCCTGCCCTGCCCGCCCCTGCTCTGCCTGCTCCCAGGATCATCTGTGAGCGTGGACATGTCAGCACCCGAGGGCACAGCTGCAAGCGGGCAGGGCGGCCCGCTTACCCGATTGCCAGCGCTGATGTCTGGGGAGGGAGGGCGTCTTGTGAGGCCCATCCTGGGAGCTGCCTTCCCTCCACGCCCGTGGGCACTCAGTTCATCCTGATAGGCGGTAGGAATGACGTCCTCCGGTCCCCCACGTGTGTGTGTGAGCCGTGGCTTTGGTGCCGTGGTCTTGGTGCCGTCTCGCGGGCACCTCCCATTAGCCTGCTCGTCGGGTCAGATTTCAT